AAATGTTTATTTACTTATTTTGAGAGACAGGGTATGAGTGAGGGAGGAGCGAGAAGGATGGGGAGGGGGAAGAGGGAGAATGAGAGAGAGAGGGAGAGAAAGAGAATCTCAAGCAGGCTCTGCACCATTAGCACAGAGCCAATGCAGGAACTCCTAAACTGTTGAGACCATGACCTGAGCCAAAGTCGGGTGCTCAATGTCAAAGCCACCCAGGAGCCGCTGTACTGAGGTTTAATTTACATATAATAACATAACTGCACCCGCCCGAAGTGCGAAGTTCAGTGAGTTCTGACAGACATATAGACTCGCAAAACCGCCTCCACAATCACGACACGGAACACCTACCGCCCCCAAAGTAGTGTGGGAGCATGTGTTTCTGTCCCTGAGAAGGGGACACGCGAACAAAGCCGGGAGAGGGAGGGAGGGAGGAGGGTGCTGGAGCACTCGCAGCACAAGGCCCGGGAGGCGCGCTGGTCGCTGCCTGCGGCTGATCCGGGACGGCACCGGGGGTGGGGCGTCACCCAGGAGATGAACGGCCGAATTCTGCGGTTGTGCCACGTTAGCGGCACACGTTTACGGAACGCACTTCCATCATCATCACCAGTATTCTCATCGTCTACGCTGCCTTCAACTAAGAAGCCAGGCTGTTTGGTGGATAGGCTGTCACTCTGCACTCCTGGCACCTGCCACCATCCCCTCTAGTGGCGTGTGGGGTGCACGGTGCCCTCAGGAGACGGCGAAGATAACCCACCACATCCCTCAGCACCTTCTGGGCCAAATGTGAGCAGTTGCCGCCTCCTCCTCCTCCCAGCCCACCCGAGATGCTAGCTGGGGTGTGGCCAGGCTGTCACCGCTCCCAGTCTCGGTGGGGGGCGGATGAGCCCGAGGGGTGCTGCTGCCACTTGGTGCCATCAGGCAGGTGGCCTGCGCCTTGGCCCAGGACACGCGTGACGCTGTGGTCAGCCGTGTGCAGGGGGAACTGCGGGTGCAGGTGAGCACGGCCGGGAGACAGCGGCAGCCAGTCCTGCAGTCCTGCCACGGGAAGAATTCATCAAAACAGAATTACCGTCCTGCAAACAACAAAGCCCCCGCATATTTACGTCAGATGGCGGTACAATCAGGAGGTGGAACACCCCTTCACGGACCCCGGGAACTACTTTGGGTGTTGCGGTCCTATGGTCTGTGTTGTAGGGGAGAAGAGCCCACCGCCCAGCTGACCCCAGCTGGGCTCCAGCTCCAGCAAAATTCTCTTCACTCACCCTGAAATCTGAATTCCATACATTTTTCATGTCTCAAAATATAATTTTTCTTTTGATTTTTTTTTTTTGGATCATTAAAATATGTAAAAACCATTCCTTGTTCATAAGTCACATGAAGATCGACATTGAGCCAAACTGGGCAACCCCTGGTGTAAAATATGCAGGGCTTTTGTTGTTTTCTGGGGGGGATAATACTTTCTTTTTTGATAAATTCTTCAGGCAGCAATAAAATTAAACGCAGTATATATTTAACAACAACAAGCTCTCAATTTCCATTTTCTCAGCAAATTGATGAATTTGTAACTTGTATGAAATGTTTTTCAACCTCGCCCGTCCACCCGTAGCCTAACTCAGACCACACGAAAAGCAAGTCCTAAAGCTGCTGCAGGACCCCAGTGTCTCCTGTAATAGTTCACTGTCCCCTAAGGACCGAGCCTGGGAGGGAGGGAGGGGTGGCAGCACGGACTTACAGGTAACTGTGAAAAATGGAAGTCTTTCAGACCAAATGGTAGTTCCTCTGTTAATTTCACTCATGTTTCCGTTCTGAGGTCTGTAACACACACACACGAAAGACAGCACCATAGCTGTGTGTTCATTCTATTAGCAAAAGAACCTCACCGCAGCTAATGATGCCAGTTTTATGAGTGTTAACCAGATGCTTCAAACAGAGAATCGGTTAATCATCATAATCGTATGATTTGACTTATAAATGTGCAATACTGTGAATGATAGGAAATACGTATTTGGTCATCTGAATGACTAGATGTATTTGGTCCTCATCCATAGGGGTTTCCAGGTTCACAGCTCCTGAAACCCCTGAAATTTCAGGTGAAGGGGGCGATAAAAATGTCTCCGGTTATGGTAATGAAGGGACAGTGGTCTTCACCCAAGGGCGGGGGCTGGATGCCAGGAGGACCAACCAAGTGACTGGAGGGCTGGAAGGGGGGGTGGGGAGCGGGAAGAGGAGCCAGAGGCTAATGGCCAATGGCCAATGACATAGGTCAGTCAGACTACGCAATGAGGCCTCCATAAAGATCTGAAAGAGGGAGAGTAGGGTGTCTGGAGAGGGCACGGAAGCCCCCCGTACCCTTTCCCCAGACCTCGCTCTGGCTGTGGATTCATAAACATAAGTGTCCTGCAAGCCCCTCTAGAGAATTAAAAGAAGCCAGGGGGGAGCGTGCTGGAACCTGCAGCCCTCAGCCAGGGGCCGGGGGCTTGTGACTGCCATCTGAGGTGGAGGGTGGGAGCAGCGCCGCAGGACTGAGCCCCTAAGCCGTGCACTTGGAGGCTGTCTGCAGGCAGACGGCGTCAGAATGGAGCTGAATTCTTGGACTCCCTGCTGGTGTCTGAGGTTTGCTTGCTGTGTGCTGCCCTCATCCTCCGTGAGCAAACTGGGGGAACCCTATGAGAAATTGTTACTGTAAACTCCAGTCAAAATGTTCCACGATGAACTTAAAAAAACTTTTTTTAATGTTTTATTTTGGAGAGAGAGAAAGACAGGGTGAGCAGGGGAGGGTCAGAGAGAGAGAGTGAGATATGGAATCCGAAGGAGGCTCCAGGCTCTGAGCTGTCCGCACAGAGCCTGATGTGGGGCTCGAACCCATGAACTTCAAGATCGTGATCCGAGCTGAAGCTGGACACTTAACTGACTGACCCACCCAGGCGCCCCAAGCCTCTGACTCTTGATTTCAGCTCAGATCATGATCTTGAGGTTGGGGAGTTCGAACCCCGCGTTTGGGCTCTGAGGTGACAGCATGGAGCCTGCTTGGGATTCTCTCTCTCTCTCTCTCTCTCTCTCTCTCTCTCTCTCTCTCTCTCATTCACTCTGTCCCTCTGCTGCTCGTGTTCTCCCTCTTCTCTCTCAAAATACATAAATAACCTTAAAATACAAAACAAAACAAAAAAACCTGTGATGCTCTACCTATGGAAAATAAAGCTAGAGTTGTCGAAATGTACAAATATTTTTGTGATTACAGGGTAACAGCAATTTTTTGTGAAACTGATTCTGAACACACATTAAAAATGTGTGGCATGCCAGTGCATTAAAAATTGAATATTAGGAATGTCTGAGTCTTTAAAGAATTCCTTTTTATTTTTATTATTTTTAAAAAATGTTTTGCTTATTTTTGAGAGAG